GCCGGGCGTGCGTGCTTGCGGGCCGCGCTCTCCGACTCGCGCTTCTTCTTGGTGTGCATGTGCTTCCTGACCTTCATCCAGTCGCTCATGGTGTCGGGCTACCTGAGCAGCGTCATCACCACCATCGAGCGGAGGTACAGCCTSAAGAGCTCCGAGTCGGGGCTGCTCGTGAGCTGCTTCGACGTGGGCAGCCTCGTCGTCGTCGTCTTCATCAGCTACTTYGGCGGGCGCGGGCGGAGGCCGCTCTGGCTCGCCGTGGGCGGCTTCTTCATCGCGCTGGGCGCCGCGCTCTTCTCCTTGCCGCACTTCATCTCGCCGCCCTACCAGATCCAGGAGCTCAACGCGTCCGTGAGCAACGAGGGCCTGTGCCTGACGGGCAACGGCAGCGCCAAGGAGCCCGCCGAGTCGCCGGCCTGCGCCAAGGACTCCGGCGGCAGCGGTCACTCCCTCTACGTGGCTCTCTTCATTTGCGCCCAGATCCTCATCGGCATGGGCTCCACACCCATCTACACCTTGGGACCAACCTACCTAGATGATAATGTCAAGAAGGAAAACGCCTCGCTTTACCTAGGTAAGGCGTGGGAGCAAACGCTAAAACTCACATCTTTCCATGCAGGTGCCGCTTAAAGATCCTTCTGCCCCATACGATGTCTGGGCTGTCCTTCCCTCGTGCAGGAAACTGGAGGTGAACTTGCCATCCTTTCCTGTACTGTAGTGTTTTCTTCCCGGTGTTACAGAGCCGTGAACAGTAGTAGCAGGTGAAACGAGGAGCGTGTGTGTAAGAGTGACTGTGCTACGTAGGGAGCTGGGAACGACTTAAAAACACTGATAAAACTGTAAGTAAGTAAAGCATCCCGGACAAAGCGCTCCGTTCCCGGGGCACCAGTGACACCTGACAAGGGACAGTTCTCCTGCTGGTTCATAACCAGCACCAGGGGCAGGTTTGGCAGGTGCAGAGAGTCGCTCCGATCCAGAAAGGGGTTTCTCGGAGAAGCAGGTGCCAAACTTCCCCATGACTTAGAGGTTATAAGTAACTGCATTTTTTTTTTTTAATATAATACGCATAATGCATAAGGAGATTCTCTGTGCTCTGAATTTGCATTAGTATCTAGCTGATTTTGTGAGAAATGAATCTCACTCCATCAAACTGCTTTTGAAGGAGGGGAGGCACTAACTGGTCCAAGGTTTGGCTGCTCAGCATCATCACTTGCAGTCGATCTCTGGACTGGCCTTGGAGATAGCATCATTCTGTGCAAAGCATTCACCAAAGGAATACGCTCGGTGCGTGCTTAACCTCAGTAAGCAGCAGCAGTCCATCTGGATCACTCTTTTCCCCTGCTTTTGATGTGTTCTCCAGCAATTTTGGCTATTCCCCGAGCCGTTTTAAAGCCAGTTCTTTGTGCAGTGCCTTGAGAAAGCCTGAGGCATTGCTGGATTTCAGGAGGAAAGAGAGGTATTCACTGTATTTTTTTCTGTCATTTTCACAGCGTTGTCTGATGAAATATTGAATAGGCAGCAGAGGATTTTCCCTTCCTCCTGCACCTTGGAGAAAGGTTATCTGCTATGGAAGTTTAAACTAACCTTGCTGGCACTAAGAATAAAGTAAAAATAAGTCTTCTTGTGATTTGTAGCTGCAGTTTGGAAGGGTAAAAAGAGGACCACTACTTTTGTTGGCTAGTGGTTTCACACAGACACCTCTGGGGAAGAAGAAGGAGATGGAGAGGCTCTAAAGGACACCGGAGGGTGAGAGGAGGAGGAAAATCCTCACCAGAGCAGGGAGCAAGGTCAGGGCTGGTGAAGCTGGACTTGCCTTTGAGTTAGCAGAGGGGAGAGACCCCAGCCGCTCTTCAGAGACCGTGTGTGACTGGTACGTAGGGCTGCACTGGGAATATCCTCACGGGTTTGGACTCCTCATGTAGCCCATCAGAAAAGTAAAGATTAGATACCCAGCTACAGTGCAAGTGAAAACTTTATACCAAGCAGCCAGCTGTGCTAGGCTCATAGGGAGAAGAATTAAAATGAACACACAGCACGTTTAAAACTTAAGTCAAGTAGATCACTTCCTTTCAGTCTTTAAGGCTAAGGAGTAAGTATTGCTTTCCTTTGGAAATCATGACAGTATTATTRTTAGTTTTTGCCAGTAGTTGAAAGTCTGAAACTTTTAAGTAGTCCAGGACTGAGGATTTGTCATTTAGAATTAGGCCAGTGACTTTCTGAGGGTCAGAAGAACCGGACTTGGAGCCGGAGAGCATCGCTTGGCACACTGGTGTGAGCAGACCTGGTTTGGGACCCGTTGCCGTGGTCTGGAATGTGCCCTGTCCTGTGGGAATGACGCAGGGCTGGAGGGACAGCGGGCAGGGACGCGCCGGAGGTGCCTGGGACGTGACTGCCGCTTGGCCAGCGCCACGGCTGCCGTTGTGCAATGCTTGTTTCTTAAGGCAGCGGGGTTGATGAGCGGGGCAAGTCAGGTCAGTGCTCTGGGGAYGTTAGATTCCTGTGTACGTGTAGGTCTGAGCACCTGGAAAGTGCAGGAGGGGGCTGGGGAAGTTCGGAAGTTTGGGAAAGAGAAGATAGACTAGRGGAACAGATCCCGTTCACATGAGAATGGACCTCAATGAGGAGAGAGAAGTTTGGGGAAAAAAAATGTAGTATCCTGTAATGCAAAACGGAAAATTCCTAGCGTATTTGTTCTTAAGSGTGCTTGCACTGTATTCTCTTTATATATATACATATACAATATATTGTGCTTATATGTATATAATATATTCCCATGAGAAGCATTTGTGTACAAGCATCCATGTTATCAAAGTTACAGCTCTTTAACTTTGCTCACTAGTTATCGGTCAGTAAGAGCCCCTCGGTATCACTAATCCTGATTCTGCAAAAACTCACCTTACGTGGCTGTCGAAGCTCTTTTATATTCCCAGTTAATCCAGCTCAGGGTTCGGGTGGTGCTAACATATCCTCTTAAGAGTAGGCCCGCAAGCTCCATGTGGACAGCTGTTTTAGCATTCCTGGCTGGAAGTCCTGCTCTCAAAAGGCACATTTGATGCGCGTACGTAGTCTCTTGGCTGCCCACACTCAGGTCCATCTGTCAGGGTGGCACGGTGCCAGGTTGCAAGGTGGAAGGTTATTTTAGCAATGCAGAGGTGCCAAGCAGGGCGTGTGGTTGGGCCACTCGCGTGGCAAAGGGCAGTCCCTGGGAAGCTTTGCCTTCATGAAAGCAGCACTACTCTTGTTTCCTGCAACCCCTTAGACCTGCTGGGACTGTGACACYGTGATGCTGACTATGAGACCATGTGTGGTATAGGACAAGTCCTGATGTTAACAAGTTTGAAGGAAATACAAGAACCGAGTCTCTCAATCACAGATAAGCCAGAATGGCAGTTGCACACTTCATCTCCAGACTGACCACCCACTATGTTGTTTTTGTGTGTTTAGTGCATTTTGTGCATCAAAACTTAAAGGCAATGTAGTTTTCTAGAGATCCAGTARTTTGTGCTGAATAGCTTTGGACAGCACTTGGTGACTACGCATTGTAAAAGCTGTTCTTAAAATGCTGTAAAAGGGGAGATTTATTAGTGACATTGTATTGCCTGAATAGATTTCCTAATACTATGCTTGTTTTGCAAATAACAAAACAAAGAAATACTGCATTAATAAATACGTGTCACCCATGAGGAGTGCCTTTTACCTGTACCCTCTGAAAAGTGACTAGTGGATGAGTTAGTGTTTGTGCTAAAGATGATGATGTGTGTTCAGATTCCATATTGTCTAAGCTGCTAATGAAGGGCTACAAGGAAAGGGACTAAGCCAATCTAATTTAATGTAGGCTTTGTTGGGTTTTGGTAGCGTACAAGAATTACAAATGCAAAGAAAGAACTTTTAGGAGAGAATATATGAAAAATAGGAGAAATCTGTGTCAGTATAGTTGACAGAGATCATGGCATGAGATGAAGAAAACAGAAAGTCCTTTCCTAACCTGAAGGAAGAGTGAATATTTAGGTTGTTTCCAAAAGGACATGAGCTCTGGCATTGTCTTCACAAGGAGCATTTATGGGCTGCTGTTTCTAACATTAGGTCGCCCTTCCAGTGAGGCTCTATTCCATGTGGAAACCACCTTCCTGGTAGTATTTTACAGCTGCCTACTCTGTGTACCCGCCATGGTGTTCTTCACAGTCTGCTCAAAAGCCTGCACATGTGTTTCCAGTTCTCCTAGCTGTATTGCTGTGCTTCTAGTTGCATCCACCTCTAGATGCTCTTCCCCCTGGAAGGAGTGGGAAGGCCGGGGAAGTGTCCCACTTGTCCCACTGGGACACCCTCCAGCTTCGCCCGCTGCCTCCTGGGGTGCCCAGTGATCGGGCTCTCCGTAAGGAAATCCAGACCATGGTGCTGCTTTCACTGGTACCTTTTGCCCTGGCTGCTTTGGGGGTTGTGCCGGGCTAAGCAGCACATGCCCCTGGAGGGCAAGAGCTGRAGCCCGGTGAGGACATTCAGCCCGTTATGTCTGTTGTGTGACCGCTGCCGCTTTCCAAGGGAGAAGCACCTTTCCAGCTGGCCGGGAGGGACGATCCAGAAGGAGTGAGACAGCTGACAGTATCTGAGTTTATTCTCACCATGTGAGCCCTTGTGGCGCACRCTGAATGTGCTTCATGCTATCCGATACAGGGACAGGCTGCTTCCCACAGGGTTTCTCAACACTGATCCCTACAGTTGTTAAGTTCTACAGACAAAGTGCATTTATTTTTTACAACCACCCTGACAGCATGCTGTGCTTTATGAATCAGAAGGACATTGAAGCTGCATCTGGCAAAAATGTGGACTTTTTTTTTGTGCTTRTGGTATTTCACATGTAACAGAGCAGCATGCTGAAACTTATTCCCCAGATTCAGGAATTTCATTCATCTGAGTGAAAGCCACATCTTCATTTAACCAAAGGCTAACTCTAAAAGCAGGTCTTCTGTAGAAACCTGTTTTGCTTCTCTGGCATTTCTTTACATGATGTTTTTACGTTAAAATGCTGCTGAGGCATTGGGCAAGATTCCTTACAGGGATTTAAAGTACCACTGTGTGGTTTTCCAGCCCTGTATTACAGCTGAGATGAGAGAAGCAGGTCATTTCTACTATTCCTCTTCACATTAGCTTCCCCCGCTGCCGTGGGATTGATAACATTTCTCCAAAGTGAAATCCTGAGCTATAGTCCGTGGTGTTCAGAGGAAGCTCTGCAGCCCCAGGCTCATGCGGCGGCGTGCGGGACGAGATCCGCAGGCTCCGGGATGCAGCGGCGGGAGCGCTGGCTCCGCGCTGCCAGCGCAGCCTCCCCGGGGCTCTCCTGGCTCTGCTCCTCGCTGTGGCATCCGTCACCCGCGGCTCCGTGGCCCCTGAGCCAGCGGCAGGGCATCACTTGGAGTGACCGGCAGCATGTCCCTTCGCTAGGGCACGGAGACGCCTGCGTGSCACCTTCCCAACTGGCCCTTTTCTTTTGCTGTAGATCCCCAGCAGAGCTCGAGGCAGGAAAGTGGTCTTGAAGAAACAGTTTCTTAGTGCCTTCTTTTTTCCTCAGCAACTGCA